ATTCTCAACGAATAGTGTAAATTATTATCAATGAACAGAGTAAATTAGTCTCAATTAACAGTATAGATTATTCCCAATGAACAGTTTAAATTATTCTCAATGAACAGTGTAAATTATTCTCAATAAATCGTGTAAATTACTGTCAACGCAAAATGCAAATTATTATTAAAGAACGGTGTAAATTATTCACAGTGAACGGTGTAAATTATTTTCAATGAATGGTGTAAATTATCTCAATGAATGATGCAAATTGTTCTTAGTGAATGGTCTCAATTATTCCTAATGAACGGCGTAAATTATTTTTAAAAAGTTGTGTAAATTATTCTTAATGAACTATGTAAATTATTCTTAATTAATGGTGTAAGTTATTCTCAATGAATAATTGTCGTTTGGGAGAAGCATGTCAAAACCGAACGAAGCAGTTTATCAATCTATTCATTGTCACAGGGACGTATGTAGTATTCTCTGCCATCTTTCTTTGTCAAGTGACGTAAGAAAAAGAATTCCCAAGAGCTTTATAAATCCTATCCCGATAGACCTAAGTAATCTTAGCAATCTTAGCTTCAGCTTCATAGCAAACTGGTCACCCCATAGTTGCTTTGCTCGTGTGCCAACGAAAAACACACAGAATGTTCGTCACAGTCCCTTGTGGAGAGATTGACAGACTGCTGTCTCAGCATATGTACTAGCATACACAAGCAATAAAAGCATACGGTAGCCATAAGAAAAGCTAACACAAACAGTCTGACATTATAAATCAGTTCATCATCTATGGTAGCAGAAGTTAGTTACCAAACAGATCAGCAGTTGCACACGCGATCAATATTAATCACATAAGGGCACCGCCAATATTGCGACGACAGGCCACGCGCCATTTTCTGAATCTACAGTTCACAACATTAAGTTGGTCACAGTCGAAAAACATTCCAAATGAAATCCGCAGCTCGCAGTGTCACGTCATGCACTCAACTCAGAAGCTGGGCGAGGAAACTATATCCTTTCAGTCTACACATGGATCAAAAATGCAACGGCCACTGTCTGGCAGAAGCAATTTGCCTCGACGCGACACAGTGACGGTGCCTATATAGACAGAAGTGAATCATGGAGGGGTGGCTAATTACTAAACAATAATCTAGAGGCGACGGAGATATGATTTTAAGGACTAAAAAAGGAGAAAACACTGTGCAGATAAAAACAGTAATGAAGATGTCTTGTAAGAAACTTATTCACGAAGAGAACGGATTGCTCACATCAGGGGGAGACAATCTACAATCATAAGTCATGTCAAGAGACAGAAAAGGTGGGAAAGTTGAAGGTGAAGAGAGGCGAGATGAGAGAGAGAGAGAGAGAGAGAGAGAGAGAGAGAGAGAGAGATAGATAGATAGATAGATAGATAGATAGAGAGAGAGAGAGAGAGAGAGAGAGAGAGAGAGAGAGAGATAATGCTAGACAATGCTACTTCATAGTATGGAAGATCATCTGTGTCAGAACCGAGTAAAAGTACAGGAAACTTTGGTTGTGGATAGACATGACTAGCATAAGCACACGACAGGCCACCCAATAAATGAATGCCTGCAGAAATAGGATGTATCGGCTGACAGGTGCAAATATCTCAGCCATGTTGTAAACGAGCACAATGCACTTAATCGTCTTATGTACTAAAAAGAAAAAGAAGCAGAAGAAGAAGAAGAAAAAGAAGAAGAAGAAGACGACGACGACGACGAAGAAGAAGAAGAAGAAGAAGAAGAAGAAGAAGAAGAAGAAGAAGAAGAAGAAGAAGAAGAAGAAGAAGAAGAAGAAGAAGAAGAAGAAGAAGAAGAAGAAGAAGAAGAAGAAGAAGAAGAAGAAGAAGAAGAAGAAGAAGAAGAAGAAGAAGAAGAAGAAGAAAAAGCAGAAAATGAAGAAGAAGAAGAAGAAGAAGAAGAAGAAGAAGAAGAAGAAGAAGAAGAAGAAGAAGAAGAAGAAGAAGAAGCAGGAGTGTTGGCATTCCCTGCAGTAAGAGCTGTAACAGAAAAGTAAGTTTATCTTTGTATTCTCACGTAGGAAGAGTGTGAAAACGTCAGACGGAAAAATTCTGCAGCTCCTGACACACCACTCCACGTCTTATCAGAGAAACTGTACTAGAATCTGGCTATAAAACCTGCATGATTCTGTCATCGTTCCTTCTATTACATATCTCAAAATCAGAATAATACTTCTGTCTTTAGATAACAGATAGTATTATCTGTAGAAGCAATCTTCGCTTTAAGTAAGTACCCATATTAGTGTTACGTAATCCATGTAAAAGTACCCACATGTGTGTTATGTTGTGCACATAATATATATACCCACATTTGTATTGTGTTGCATACATAAAGTAAGTATCCACTTTTGTGTTATGCTCCAGATTTGCTAGAGGTTTGACAAAGAAGTGCCGAGCTTCTCCTTTGATTTTCTCTTTCTCTACATGTCCAAGTTCGGCAAAGTAGAAGCCATTTACCAGCAGGCCACCAACGCCTGTTTGGTCTTGTTCAAGAACCACCGCTCTGCCTGGGTAGCAGCCAACAAGAGGCATCTGGGTCTGCCTTACATTCGTCTGTTTGCTCGATGGTGGAACCCATCTCTTCAGGACAGTGACCAGCTGAGAGTGACCAAGCACGTGGAGAAGGCAGCGGAAACAAGAACCAGGTGTCACTCGCTGATGGACGCTGATGATCGATTGGCAGCTTCTAGTGTCCTCCGGGCCAGCGCTAGAGTCATCACTGAAAGCAACAGGGACGGCGGACCTACGCTGATGGCATACCTCACTGAGGGCGTCAGGAGGTCAGTATGTATCGAGAAAGTGAAGCAAACATTGCCCAGGAAGAGGGCCGGGGAGGTGAAGGTGATCAGCTCAGTGGAGCAGTTTCACAAGGTTATCAAGCGAGGTCGACTGACTGTCGTGGATTTCTACGCCACCTGGTGTAGTCCATGCAGAGCCATCGCTCCCGTGATCGAGTCGTGGGCCGCAGTTTCGCGATGTTGTCTTCGTTAAAGTGGACGTGGACGAACACCCGGGAATTGCCCAGGACTACCTGATCTCCGCAATGCCAACATTCGTGTTAAACAAGAACAGTGTGACACTCGATGCCATTGTTGGCGCTTTCGTGGAAAAACTGAGAGAAACGATTCTTGTTTTAAAGTAGACGTGTGCGTCTATGAGATGAGTGGCACAGCTATTTGTAGAATGAATCAAGAACTGGCGACACTGCACTAGGGACATTCCCACACGTGCTTCGTCCCCTTCTTCAGCAGACAACGAAGAGTCGACATGTTAATATTACTAGTTGCAACCTGATTAAAAGTCCATCTGTGTTTCTTCTTCATCGTTTGAAAACTTTCAGAAGCTCAGATAAAACAGTACCGACACGTGGAAAATTACTAACATTTCAATGTCACAAGTGTCCCGTTTGCAGAACAAAGGCGTTTGCACTAAAGGAAATACATCACTTGCAAATTTGTCAATGAAATATAGTGTGAATTAAGAACACTTTTGTGTTGTACTGTGCACGTAAAATGAGTACCCACATTTGTTCTACATTTTGCACGTAAAATATGCATATTTGTGCTATGCTGTGCATGTAAAGTAAGAATCGACTTTAATGCTATGTTGTGCACGTAAAAGTATGCCCATTTGTGTTATGTTTCTCGCTTTAAATTATTTTTCACCTGTTAATTATTCTCTTATCAAACAAACAATCAACCATATAGGTCCTATCAATAGTTAGCGCCCTGTGCAATTTTCACAATGCCCTTGCTATCCTGCTTAGCCCAATCTTACTTTCTCTTGCCTGATTGTTTCCCTTTCTTTCTATATTTATGCGACCCTGTGTGTTTCATTGCAAGGACATTCTATGTATCTTAATCCGAATGTGTCTTAAGAAACATCTGTGTCTTACCTGGATTTAATCGACCCTGTAGACATCAGCACCAGCGTTTCAAAACGACGATTCTGTCATGCCTTTTAATTAATTACAGAGTACAAACTTGGTTAACACGAACTAACTCCAGAAGAAAACTTGGTTAACATGAACTAAATTGTGGTCTCACAAAGGAAGTATTATTGCACACTGGTCTGCGGTAGCACGAATTTATGTTAACACGAACTCATGTTTGGTCCTTTGGAATTAACATTAACTAGGGTTTACTGTATTAACTGTCATCAATAACTAGGTCCTTTACAGAGCATCCCTCCCTTCACAGCATGTCTGAAAGTCTCTACCTCTCTATCAAATTTTACAGCCCTATGTGCTTTCATAGCCAAAGCCGCTTCAGTGCCTTGTATCCATCTTCAATCAGGTCGTCCGGTGCTTTGTTTTTCTGAAACTCAATGTTTTTTTCCAGGCCAGCATGACACGGCCAAATTACCCCAGCCTTAGGGAAAAGATGTTGTTTATGAGCCAATTCTCCTCAAAGTTCAGATCATGTAAGATGTCGACACCCCCCCCCCCCCCCCTCACTCTTTTTTCTTTTTAGTCCATGGTGTTCTAAGAATTTTCCAATAGTATTTCAATTCAAAAGCTCCGATTTGTGGTTCCAACGACAAACTACTAAACTGGCTAAAGCTTTAACAATTAAAATAAACAACAGCTCTCGTCTGCAAACAGAAAGAATTCATTACCAATTTGACGTTACTCTGGTAAGTCACGTGACTAACATAAACTTGTGGCGTCTAGACGTACACAACGTGTCGAGATAGACCATTTGAATTTCAGTAGAATTTTGTGTTTTATTATTTACTGGCGTTTCTCTGTAGCAACTCACCTGATCAGATTCAACAGCGAAGTATGCCTGACAAAAAATTGTGCAATATATTGTTTCTGATCGCATTATTTATTCAGCGAAACGCAAAATTGCCTAGTAAATCCACAAGCAAAATGTTGCTTTTTGTGGGCAACTATGTGCAAAGGTTATGCTACTAACATAACGACTGTAGAAACTGCTTAACAAAATACTTTTTTTTTTTTTTTTAAATTTCAGAAATGAAATCAGCTCTGTTCTTTTTTACACTGATGGCGACCATGACGCTGGTCATCGGCTTCGTGTGTCCACACGACTATTGCGACAAGGTGCAGTGTGTGGAGGTCACAGCTAAGACCTGTGTGGGCAAGGTGGTGTCGAAAGGCAGCACGTGTGGCTGTTGTGACAGCTGTGTCACAGTGTTAGGTAACTCTCAATGAAATCGTCTTCCACCTCAACATATTCGTCATCATCATCATCATTGTCGCAGTAATCATCGACTACCGTGATCCTTATAGCCAAAACAGCCACTACAATCATTACAATTCTTATCGTCATCACCATCTCCATCACAACGAATACTACTGTCACTACCGGATGTGTAAGAGAGTCATATTCTACATAAGCAATAACGATAGCTCTCTATCACTTGGTAGTTTATGTGAGGAGAGGGCCAGGGGAACTTCACTGGCTACGTATTTGAGTGTTGCCATAAACTTGCCACCTCACAGCTTATGTTCTTTTAAACCCATTTTTTATGTTTAAATTCGGGATCTCTGAGGGCTCCCTGTCGACAACGGGGTTGATGTCTCCCAAGAACCCAGTGTTTTCTGTGTGATGGCACCTCTAGACTCAATGACATACATAGTTATAGGACTATGGCTAGATATAACCGAAGCTATGTGTTAACAAGATACCGACAGTATTTCTTTAAAAACAAACGTTTGTTTGTGTCTTGCTTGCTCAGAAGCCGGACAAAACTGTTTTGGCCTGTTGCTTATGGGGTACGCTCCAACGATAGCCTGTCCAGACGGCTACTTCTGTGACTCGACGACCATCTCGTGCCAGCCTCAAGTCAGCTAGAGGAGGCAGGTAATGTGGCTATATAGTTTGTATTGTACATTTTTGACTTGTTTGCTTACAGGTATATCGTTTATTCTGAGTAACTACTAGCGGTGTCCAAGGTTTAGACGTTGCTGGTCCGACTCATAATTCCAACTGACAACGATCAAAACACACTGCTGGCTGCGTGGATTCTTATCATGGTATGCGGTGTCGCAGGTCGACCTAGCCTAAAATGGGTACCAGGATAGCCGCCTGGGAAGTAAAGACGCCCGGCGTAATGCTGACCACATTACCCACATAGTGTCGATTGGTCTGTAAAAATATGGGATGCTCTTCCCATATGCCCGATGCGCATAAAATAGGATCTTTACTTTACTCTTTACTTGTGTAACTACTGGACATCATACTGGTCGACACCTTTCCTTCTTTCCAGAAGCCAGTGTTGTATACACTACGACGAGGCCAAGCCCATGGCAACTGAGAGTGTGACTTGCAAGATCCACCCGCGTTGAGTAAAGTCTTCCACAATTAGAGCACGAAATTACAGAATCAAAGCTATCATCACATTCATTCTCAGACGATCAGCTCTCATCCTTTCTCCAATCATACATTTCATAATTGCCATTACATTTCTGATTTCCTCCCTACCCGGAACACAAACCATAACATATTGTCCCATGAATCAACCTCACTACCTGTATCATTCATATTCCGCTTGCACACATTTAAAAAAAAAATATAGTAGTAGACGCCTACCTCGAGATCTTTTAACTATCTGTAATGGACATCATTTTAGTATAAACCCAGTTCTGAATGTACAGTAATAAATTCAACATGGCCCCTTTGCTTTCCAGGTTAGCATAGCATGTTGTATAATTCAAATACAACTGTGGTCTACAAGACGAATGTTTAGAAGGGCCGAATGTAAGACGGCCCCGCGTTTTCAATGCATGACCTCTTGAAAATAAGTTTGTCCAAACGTTTTATCATATCTTGTTTTTTCCGGTGTTTCCTTCGCATTTTTCGTTCCTTCTTTCTTTTTTATGTCTTTGTTTCATTGCTACCTCCTTATTTGTTGCCTGACTCTCTAACTCATTACCTATTCTCTCTAATGTGTTTAGTGTTTTTATTCTGTTACAAGGATCGGCTACGTTAGTTAGCATACCATCTGGCGACACTTATTTCACTTATAATTATGTATCTATTTCAGAAATCCAGCAGTGAACAAACCACGAGACCTTATTACACAACCATACAAGGCCACAGGTGATTCCTCGCTGAATGTTTTATTAGTGAATTTTCAGCCAGCATCTATATGCCTCATTGCCATGTGATATCTGTTACACAATTATACATGTGGTGCAGTCATCATTTGTCCGCAATAAAACATGAAGACAGATCAGAAACCAGCGCGTGATTTTGTTTTCCTTGAACTTGGTTGCTTTTTTGTGTGTGCTGCATATACAATTTATGGATGAAAATTTGATGAACTTCCGTCTTCGTTCTTGTCTTACTACCGACCTACGTAGCTAACTACCGACCTACTTAGCTAACTACCGACCTACGTAGCTAACTACCGAAATACGTAGCTAACTACCGGATTACCTAGCTAACTACTGACCTACGTAGTTAACTACTGACCTACGTAGCTAACTACCGACCTACGTAGCTAACTAC